ATTAGGGAAAAAAAAGGATAATACTGAAATTAGGGAAAAAAAAGGATAATATTGGTGTTATTGCTAATTCAGACATCTTTAATGGGAGTAAAAATTGTTGCATTGAGGATTTTAATACTTGATTTTTATGCAACTTTTGTGAAATTTCGTGGTCTCTTGACTGGTAAACGAAAACCGGCTTTGTCATATTTGTATTTTTCAGGGCAGTATTTCCAGGGAAATGGAGCTTGTAGCTAATAACATCATGACAAATAATTGAGATGTGCCTGATTCCTTTGGCAGCTGACCTCAGGCAGTGGGTTTTGGTTTTTTTTTTCAGTATCAGGAAGTTAAAAACGAAGCAAGAAAAAAAACTGCGGAGAAAACGGGCGCGAGAAGAGGCTCGAAATTCCACTCAAAAGGAAGCAGAGGAGAACCAGGAGGGGAAGGAACAGGCCCAGCACAGTCAGAACAGGGGTAGGTGGCAGGTTGTTGTCCTGATTTCTTCATGGGAAGGGCTGGAAGCATCAGCAGGGGCTGTCCAGGGAGGTGGTGGTTGCAGGTGTTGGACATAATCCTCCTCTGGAAGACTCGTGTGTTTTTCCTTGGATTGATTTTTATTTCAGTTCTGGTTTTAATCTCCAGATGTGTCAGTGCAGGGTTAAATTCCTTGTGGAAAACCCTCGGTTCTTCCTTGGCTGCTTCGTGCAGAGTCAGCCCAAAGGGGCCAAAAGGCTCCAATTCCAAGTTTAAAATTCCTGCTTAAAAGGGATTTCAGGAAAAGCTTTATGCCCAAAAAGCTGGGATGCTGTTGAGGGGAAAAAAAAAAGAGGAAAAAACCCCAGGATCTTCTCAAAGAAAGAATAATACCAGCAGTGACTTGAAAAGTACATTTCAGGGGATTGGGGTAAAATAAAATACTTCAATTTAAAAGTTTGTGGGCAGTTAATGCTCCAGCTTTTGCTGGGCTGTTGGGCTGCACTGCCCTGTTTCAGAGCTGTGAACATCTCCTGCAGCTTGTCAGGGCAAAGAGAAAGGGGTGATGTTTGAAAATTTAATTTTTTTTTGTCTGTGTTATGAACTTGGCATCTAATTAACTCCATTTCCTGGAAGGATTTTCCCTGTTAAATACTCCGAGGGCGCTTTTTTATCCCATCCAACCCATTCCCTGAGTTCTCTAGATCCCTCTGTTGCTCAGTGGCATATCCTGGCACTTGGAGAGATTTTTTTGCTTCCCTGTGGGTTTCTAAAATCACATCCAGTTGCCTCCTGTTTGTTTTTTTTTTTTTTGAAGTATTTGCTGTCTCTTTTTCTGTGGCTTTTCCGTGGTCCTTGGAGCCACTGCAGGTCACTGTTACCTGCAGCTGACTTGACTGTTCACCCTAAAATCCAGTCAGGGTGTTTATTTCTCTGTGTAAACCAAATTTAAACCAATTTTGTATCAAATTCATAACATAAAGCTATTTTATATGGAAAACATATATATATATATATATAATTATTGACATTCTGCAATTTCAACGTGGTGATGAAACAAATAATTAATAACACCACTGAGTCAGAATCACCTGTACTTAAAAATTGGTTTTTTATTGTGGTAGAGACATGAAATGTTGTTCATTTTGGGTTTGTTTTTTATTTTGTGATTCCCACTGTAGGTTATGGCCAAGATTTCCATGCTGGTGACCGGGTCCTGCAGCACATCAGCCGGAATTCCGAGCAGATCCAGACAGCAGTGGCTGATGCTGCCAAGTTACTAAAGGAATTACTGTCCTGGTTTGTCATCAGCCAGGAGGATTACACCTCCTATTCCCAAACTAGCAGCAAATCCAAGGAAGTGATGGAGCAGCTCATCAGCCACTTAATTCAGGAAAAAAACCGGGTCAAAACAAGGGGGTTCATCCACGTGCTGAGCGAGCTGGAAGGGGTGGATCCCAAATTACTCAAGTGGCTGAAACATCTTAATAACTTGGGTAGGTTGTGCTCCTGGAACAGCAGAACCTGGCAGAGGAGAGCATAACTTCCCTATTTTCCACTCTTCCTTTCTTAATTCCAAGTGGCAAAGCCAAACTTCCCTGTTTTTCCTCCCCCTGCTCCTTAGCCAGGATTTCTGGAGAGGAAGGTATGACCTGATGTGGGCAGGGCTTTGTCCAGGAGGGGAGGAGAAAATGGGGCAGGTTTATTTTCTCTTGTTGTCTTTAAATTACCAGAATAGCCTTAAATGAGAATATTTGCATAAATGATCTGTTTCTGGAAAGTAAATCCTGGTGGGGTTTTAGTCATTACAGTTTAACTGACTGTGCTAAACTCGGGAGGAACTTGATGTGGTGCCTTGCTGTGGAATCCTGTTGGATTTATAATTGGAGGAAGATTTTTCCAGGCATCAGATGCCAAAACCTTGGAGGAGATTTGGGTCTTCTTCATTCTGCTCTGTTGCATCCGTGTTCTTTGAGGAATTTATATAGATTTGTTACACAAATAATAATTTGGTGTTGATTAAAATTGACCTAAACCCCATTTATCATTTTTTTTTTGTTTGCATTTTCACGTGGATATTTAATTTCCAGAGCCAAGTGCTTCCCTTTGGAGAGGAATATCTTGTTTTAAGCACCAAAACTCTGCACCTGGAATGAAACATTGATGTTTTCTTCCATCTCTTTCAGGTCTGACAGCTACAAAAAACTTCCTCCATCAATATGAACAATTATTGCAAGAGCTTGACTTCTCTATTTTAGCCCCACTCTGGAACCAGAAGTATGGCAGGAAATTTGATTATGTGACAACTCCTGAAAAGCAAAAGATTTGTGATTATTTCTTAAAACCCCCCTTAGAGAAAACCCGTTGTTTTATATGGCTTTTAGAGGAGAACAGAGAACATTTTCCCTTCCTTCATCAAGCTTTAGATGAATTCTTTGATAAAATGGGTGAGTAGGCAAAGGGTCCCACCTGGACCAGGCGGGTTTCCTACCAAAAATAAATATTTGTTGTTAAGTTTTTAAGCCTGAAGATTCTGCAGCTGCATCTTGGAGGTGCTTTGGTGGTGTTTGATAAAGGATTATAATGATATTTCCTGTAATTTCACAGTTGTGATTGGAAATTAGAATGTTACTATTTCTATTAATCAGTATGACTTTTATCCTTTCAACAGATGACCCAACCATTATATTAAAGAAGCAGGGAAATGAAAATATATCAGTAAGTGAACTTAATTGATATTTGGGATGAGTTTGGCCTTTTAAACAAGTGCTGAAGTGAACAGAGATGTGCACTTTTACAGCCCCATCCTTCAGACTCAATTAGAGATTTAGTCTGTGGGTTTGGCTCCCTTTTCTTAAATCATTTGATGTTTAAATTATTTATTTTAATAATCATAAAAACAATTCATTCTGAGTGACTTTTTGATTGGTGTCTTCATTAAAATCCATTCCAACTGGCAGAAGTGTGTTATGCATTTCAGTTAATTACGTGTTTGAGACACTCCCATTTCCTGCAAATAAATTCACCTCTACAAACCCAAGGTTTACTTTTGACACTGAAAACTTTGGAGTTAATTCATGTCCATGTTAATAAAATGTGGGGGTTTTTTTGCTTCTTCTTTTCCTGAGTTGGAAATCCAAGAATGAAACAAAAACCATGACAATGAAACTGTTTTTGTTTCAGTGTTATTTATGGCCTGAAATAGCCTGTTAGTAATTGCTGTGAGTGGAGTCATGTTGATCTATAATTAAGGGCCTGTTAAAGAGTTAATTAGCATTTTAATTCCTTCATCTTTGAATATCTTGGAAAACTAAAGCAACATTTGAGAGCCCTGCTTGGTTGTTCCCCACACAAAACCGGTGTGGGATGATTTTAAATATGCAATTTTGGCTCCAAGTAATGAGCTGAAAGAATAAAATAACACAATCTTCTGATTTTTAAAAGTCAATATTTTAAGTGTTCAAAGGGGAAAATGCTGAATAAAATAGATGCAGCCTTTCAAAGCTCTGGGGTGGTTTTTTTTTGTATTTTCCTCCTGGGGATGGAGTGGAGAGGGAGAATTTCACCTTTTAAATCTTGGGGGGCAAACCAGAAGGAGAATTTTCATGTGAAACTTGAAAGATTTACCTGCTGCTTTTGGAAATGCATCAGAATTTTATTCTAGTTAAAAAAAAAAACAAACCCCAGTGACTTTCTTTTTATATTTATTTCTGTTTCAGACTAATGATATCAAAGTTAAAAACAAAAACAGGAAGAAGAATTTGAAAGACTCGAGGGTGAGTAACTTTTTAGCTGCTAAAGGAGATACTACTAAGCAGACACTATCTAATTGCTATTAAAACCCATTTAAAAATTTGGATTTTTATAGGATTTCTGGCATTCCCATGTATAGAGGCTGCTTTCCTAAATGCCTTGAGGTATTTAGGTATTAATTCATTATTGAAATAATTTTCCTGCAGTAGAAAAGTGCTGTTAATACTCAGTTCACACTGTTTTGTTTTGTTAAAATATGAATTTGTCAGTAAAGAAGGTAGTTCTAAACTTGAAAAAAAAAAAGAAGTTATTTGTGGATACCTTTGGCTCTTAATTCTGAATTACTGGTTTGATCCTCAGTTTGCCCTATGGGAAGGGGTGCATTGACAGCACTATGGAATTAACACCTTATGCCCTGTTTTATTTGGCAAATTTGGACACTTCAAAAAGTTGTGTCCTCACACCTGATTAAATACATGAAATTATGTGTTTAACTGATTTTTCTGATCATTTTTATGGGCCTATCAGTGACTGAGGATGCAGCTGTTCCTCTTAATGCTCAGAGAACTGTTGAGTTGTTTGTTATTTTATAGATTTTGCTGGGAATAATATTTTATCTGAATCTTAATTGAGGATTTTGCTTTATTTAAAGTTTCACATACAGTCTCTGTGCCCCCACCTTTTTATAATTTTACTAGAATTCCAGGAGGAAAATTTAAGATTTTATTTATTTTTTTTTCTTCTTGTTCTCATCAGCCAGGTTTTTGTTTTTCTGACTTAGGTGCATTTAGACAAGTTGATTAGGTGATAAAATATTAGATTATACAAATTTATTAGAGA